CCGGCCAACACGGCTTCAGCCCCAGAGTGCGAGCAGGGGGGATTCAGCCCCTCTGCCCTCAGTGAGACCCCAGCTGCAGAGCAGCCTGGGCCCAGCACGGGAGGGACCTGGAGCTGCTGGAGAGAGCCCAGAGGAGGCCACGGAGCTGCTCTGAGGCCCGGAGCCCCTCTGAGGGCCAGGCTAGGAGAGCTGGGGGTGTTCCGAGAGGAGGAGGATCCAGGAGAGCCCGTTCCAGGCTCCTCAGAGCCCCTTCCAGGGCCTAAGGGGGCTCCAGGAGAGCTTGGGACAAGGGATGGAGGGGCAGGACAAGGGGAAATGCCTTCCCACTACCAGAGGGCAGGGTTAGATGGGATATTGGGGGAAATTCTTCCCTGTGTAGGTGGTGAGACCCTGGCAGAGGTTTCCCAGAGGAGCTGCTGCTGCCCCATACCTGGCAGTGTTCCAGGCCAGGTTGGACACTGGGGCTTGGAGCAGCCTGGGATAGTGAAAGGTGTCCCTGCCCATGGAACTGAGTGATCTTTAAGGTCTCTTCCAACCCAAACTCTTCCATGATTCATGATTCTATAAATAATTCCCTCCGCAGCTGAGGCAGGAAGGGCTCCTGCAGCACCTCCCAGGTGGATGGAGTGGGATCCCCGCGGCTGTGGGGTGACTCCTGCTTTCTCTTGCAGCCCGCACGCTCGCTCCCTGCTACTCGGCCGACCTGCGCCCGGCCGCGGGCAGCCTGGTGTCGGCCGTGGGCTGCACCGTGCTGCTGACGGCCCCTGAGCTGCGGGGCAGCAGGGCCGTGTCCTGGGAGTACCGAGCGGGCTCGGAGGAGGGGGTCATCCTCAGCTACGGCTTCCGTCACCCCCCCAACGTGTCCCGGCTCTACGAGAACCGCTCCACGTTCAACGAGTCCAACCTGTCGCTGCAGGTGGTGCTGCAGCAAGGGGACAGCCGCCTCTACCGCCTCAGGGCCCAGGAGGAGGCCACGACCTGGTTCCATCTGCACGTTGTGGGTGAGTGGTGCCATGGCCAGCCCTCCTCCGTGCCTGGGAGCCGGGATTGCCATGGGTTTGAGCGCTGATGCTGCCTCTGCCTCTCCCAGAGCCGCTGTCCGAGCCAAAAATTGTGGGCGACTCCTTGGTGAAGGCAGGAGGCAACACCAAACTGGTTTGCAACGTGGTGCAAGGGAAGGCAGATGCCTACTGGTGGAAGAAAAACGGGGAGCTGCTCGTGGGAAGTGAGCGCATCCAGTTTGTGGAGAACGCCACGCTCTGCATCGTGCGGGCGTCCATCAGCGACAGCGGCTACTACACCTGCGTGGTGAGCAACGCCGTGAGCCAGAACGAGACCTCCTTCCTGCTCAAGGTCCACCGTGAGTGCATGCCTTCCCCTGCCCAGGAAAGAAACAGGGGGACAGTCCCAGAAAAGGGATTCTCTCTTCCTGCCTATGCTGAGCAGGCAGGTTTGCTGGGAGGCTGTGGGTGGGTTAAATTCAGGTTACATTTGCTCTGGTGCAGAGGCTCTGTGCTCTCCCCTTTGCAGACTCTGCCAACGTGGTGCTGCCTGTGGTCCTGACCTGTGTCATCATCGGCTTGCTCGCAGGTGGGTGCTGGGGTGACTCTTTGCCCTGTGTCTGGCTGGTGGGTGCTGTGGCAAATGCTGTGGCCACCAGAGGTGGGTGAAAGGGTCCCCTGTGGCACATCCCTGCCAAGACCTGGCTCTCCCACCCTGGCATCCCGTGGGCAGGGGCTGGGTTTTGTCACAGCTGCTGTTTCCAGCAGGGTGTCCCCAGTCCAAGGAGATCATGCTGGCCTGCATTGATGATGATGGTGGTGGGGCTCTGAGCAGCCTGGGCTAATGGAAGGTGTTCCTGCCCATGGCAGGGGTTGGAACTGGGTGGGCTTTGAAGGTCCCTCCAACCCAAACGGTTCTGGGATTTTGTGATGCTGCTGCTTTGTCCCCAGGTGTCATTGTCTGGTGCCAGAGAAGGGAGAACTCATGTGGCAACTTTTGGTAAGATGCCTCTAGCCCTCTCTTGGGGTGGCCCCCTTGCTCCTGCCAAAATTTTCTCTCTACAAGCCCAAATTTATCCTTGGCTGGATTCAAATGAGCTGGAGAAGCAGGAGAGCTCAGGGTGCTATTCCAGCCTCTCTAGTAAGAGGCTGCTCTCCCACCCTGGAGGCTCAAAGGGTTTGCTGTCCCCTCTTCCTCTCTATTTAATCCCCACTCTGGAAATATTCCTGATTCCTCCACCCAGAGCCTGACACTCCTGGTTACCTTAGCTCTAAATAATGGGTGGGCTTTTGAATACTCCAGAGATTTCTGGGAAGTGAGTGATTCTTGAGATTTTCTCAGAAATCGCTCCCTCTCTGTGGCCACAAACACACTCAGGCTGTTCACTGGAGCTTCCTGGAGGGTGAAGGTAAGGATGGAGAAGATAAGGATGGAAAACCCATCCCATGAGGTGGCAGGTTACAAACAAGGAGCTCTCAGGTGTCTTGTGCAGTCAGAACCCAGGGAACTCCAGGCAGATAAATTGGCCAAGGTAGCTTCTGGAATCTGGAGTAGGGCAGAAGTCCAGACCTCCTGGTGCTGCCACTGCCAGCATGGGACACTGAGCTGGCTGAGGCTCTGGGGAGGTCCAAGTGCCCAGGACATGGCTCATGTGGGGCCCTCTCTTCTCCTTGCAGGTAGAGCTGGGTCAGCCCTGCTGTTGTCCTTCCCTGGTGACCCTGGTGATGGATACTGCTGGGAGTGCCAGGTATCCCATCCCATCCCAGCCTCTCCTGGGCTCACCTGTGAAATGTTCAAACTCCCAGAACCGGCAAATATTTTTTTGGAAAACACTGGTTTGGACTATTTCTGTGTTGTCCTGCTCTTCCTGTTGTGCATCCCTGGGAAGATGGATATACCTGCTCCCTCCCACCATCTTCCTGGCTTCTTCCAGAGGCCTCGATGGGCTCTTGGCTCTGGAAAGAGCCACTGTCCCCGCTGGGCAAATCCACAGTCCTGGGGCTGCTGGGAGGTGCCGCAGTGCCAGCCCTGCCTCCCCGGGGCCTCCCTGTGTCCTGCTGTGCCAGGGGTTTGCCAGGGGGCTCAGGGGCTGAGGTTCTGGGCATCCTGCTCCATGTGACCCTTGGAGGGAGGAGAAAGGGCAGGATTGTGCTGGGTGTGCAGTTGGAGGGGGAATGGGGGAGCAGCAAAGGAGTTCAGTTTCCCAAGAAAAAATCCCAAAGATCCCAAAGCAGATCCCAAGGAAATCCCTGCAGCTGGCTGAGGTGGGGATGCTCCCGAGCCCATCTCCAGCCCTGGGCTCTGCAGGATCTGGGGATGTCCCTGGGGACATTCCCTCCTCTTCCCAGCACCAGTGCTGGTGCCAGCTTGTCCTTCCCATTTGCTGCTTCTGCAGGTGACATTGGCCTTGGCCTGGCTGGATACAGGGAGCCCTGCTCCTGTCCCCTCCTGTCCTCTCCCTCCCCGTGCTGCTTTGCTGTGGAGGGGATGTTACTCCTTCAGCTGAGCCTGGAGGCAGAGCAGGCATCCCCAGCCTGGAGAGACCTGGATGCTATCCCAGGTGCTGGACCCCACTGTTGGTCACCCCAAGACATTTGCACCCCCTTTTGATCTGAGGGGGAAATCCCAGGTCCAGGGCCCTTCCTGAGCCAGTCCCCAGCACCTCTGGAGCAGGCTGGGGACCTCTCAAAGGCAAACTGGAAAATTGTGGGAGAGATCAGTGGGAGATTCAGGGGCTGTTAGCAAGGGGCCATCTTAACCTTGGGTTTTGTGTAACCATTAAAGGAAGCAGAGGAGTTTGGGTGGAATAAATGAGATTCCAACCCCGTTGGAAGCTGCAGGGCAGGTTGTCATGTTCTCTGTTGCACTTGAGGGTGTAAAATGTAGGCACATGTTTTACAAGAAAAACTTTTCTAAGTGTTTTGGGGAGTTGTCTGTGACTGGTTTTGGAGACTTTGTGTTTTGTTGATGTGTGTTGCTGCTAATAAAGAGAGTGTGTTATCCCAGAGGGTATTGCTGTGATGTTTAGGGGTTGGAAATGCCCCCTTGGGGTAGCTGGAGCCTGAGGTAGCAGTGGGGTAGGAATCCGTCCCTGGTGGGGCGTGGCTGGTGGCAGACCTGGGAATGCTGGATTTGTCCCAGTGTCTGGCTCTGGGAGATGATCCCTTCGTCTTGAGGACATCATTTGCTCCCCTTGTGGGGTTCCTGCATCCCCATCCCCTCCCTCACCTGCTCCTGTGGCAGTACAGCCTGAGGGACTCAGCTGGGGTTAAGAACAGCCCAACAACTCTGCTCCAAATCTGGGTGAGGGTATTTTTAACCTGGCCCTGTTCCTGGAGTCACGGGAACCTGGCATCTGCCCTGGCAGTGCCTGGGGAGGAGCTGCCTTCCAAGGAGCTGGCTCAGGGCTGCCCCAGGGGGGCTTTTCGGGGAGTCTGGGGTTCATCTGGGGGCCTTTGGATGCAGGGCTGTGCTCAGCAGCTGTTTGTGTTTGGGAAAGACTCCTTCAGGCTGCAAGAAACACCTCAGTCCGTTGTGACAGCCGGGACAAACAGCCCCTGGCACAGGCTGAGTACGATTTATGGAGTAAATAAATCCCAGAGTGTGTCAGATGCCCTGGGATGGACCTAAGGAAGAACTGTTGACAGCACCTACCTCCTCCCACCATGGTTTTTGTGCCTTCATGTCCTTCCTCCACCTTTACTACTGGTAAAGCGGGAATTTATTTTAAGTTACTACAGGGTTACTCCCAGAAAAGTATTTCATGCTACTGTCAGGTATATCTTACACAAATAGCTCTAAATTGTTGTAAACAAACATTAAATAAAGATAAATCAGTGGGAGACTCCTGCAGCTGCTGCTAAAGGGGCTTCTCTACTTAAGACTTTGGTTTTCTGCAGAAAGAAAGGGGGAAATATGCATTTGGCCTCCCCTGGGTCTGATTTATTATTTAAAAAGTCAGGATCAGGTTAATTTTGTGGACATTTATTATGAAGATCACAGAGGAACCAAAACTCAGACCTGAAGCCACTAAACCTGGGGGAAGGCTTGGGCTGGCTTAGCCAAGTGAGAGACACGCACGTGGATCTCAGCAGGGAATGGTGTCCTTGGTGCCTGGCTGAGACATTTCGAAGGACCTGGAAGGAAGAGGAGGAGGGGACATGCTGAGCATCAAAATTTTTCCCTGTGTGGGTGGGCAGACCTGGCACAGGGTGCCCAGAGCAGCTGTGGCTGCCCCTGGATCCTGGCAGCGCCCAGTGCCAGGCTGGACACTGGGGCTGGGAACAGCCTGGGACAGGGGAAAGTGTCCCTGCCCCAGAGCAGGCAGTGGAACTGGATAATCTTAGAATTCCCTTTCCACCTAAACCATTCTGTTAATCCATTAATCGAGGAGGAATTAAGGTTTAAAAACTTCAGGCTGAGGCCATAAGGGGGAGTTTTGAGTGGGCTCTCAAGTGCTTTGCTGGATGGGGACCCCACCAGAGCCTCCCCCTGAACCCCTCAAGAACCTAGGGGCTGGAGGGCAGTGCTGGGCTGGATCTTTCTTGGGGTCTGGGCTTTAAACTAAAACACAGGATAGTTTCTATATCCTGCTTCTTTTGCTTCAAGATGTACAATTTCATGTGGAAAATAAGAATTTATGTGGAAAATCGGAACAAAGGACCTACCCGGCTTTGTCCATCCAAGAGACATCACAGTCCTTGCTCCAGCCCTGAGTCGTGCGATGTGCAAAAGACAAATCTGTCCCCAGATCAGGAGAAAGTGTGAGAAGCACCAAGGATGGAGTGTTGTATCTGGGATAGAGTCCCGGGGGTGTTGTATTTGGGATACAGTCCCGGGGGTGTTGTATTTGGGATGCAGTCCCGGGGGCTTCCCAGGGGAGGGAAACAATCAGTGGGAACCATTAAACACGGGGGTTTCCACAAAAGCCAAACCACTTTTAAACAATTCCTGTGGCTGCTGGACGGTGCGGGGACACCGAGGCGCGGGGAGGGGCTGGAGGAGGAAGGAGGAGCAGACTCACAGCAGAGGCCGATGGCGAGGAGCGGGAGGGCCGAGACGGCCGCTGCGCTGCCCACCAGGACGGTCACGTTCAGGAACTCCGTGCATCCTTCTTCTATCGCCGGAGAAAACAGCAGGGGCAGGGAAAGCAGAAGGGCAGGTTGCCACCATGAAAGCACAAACACACAAAAAATAGAAAATAAAATAGGTGGAGGATGTTGAAGCCGAATTTTGCTCCTGCCAAGATTTCACTTTCCCGAATCTCCTGGTTTGTTTGGTTTGTTTTTGGAGGCCTAACAGCTGAATTGAAGGGATGCGGGGATTACATGAGCTGTGTTCTTGGGGCGGTCCCTGGAGGATCTCTGCTCACCGTGGCGGTGGTGGATGCTCTTGATGAGGAAGGTGCTGCTCAGCACCACGGCCACCACGGCCCCCGGCGCGGAGTAGCCCATGGTGCGCTGCGCTGCAGAGGTGCACAGAAAAGGAGATGTGGATGAGTGCCCAGAGCTGTGGGTGCAGGGCTGGCCTCACCCAGGTAAGGGATCCACCAGCACAGGAGTTCTCATTTTAAAATGTTAGGGATGACGTTTTGGGCAGAATAACCTCCGTGTGGACCAGTTTGGTCCATCCTTGGTGAGACCGCTCACCCTTTTTGCTCTTCAGATGGCTGAAATCTGCAGGCTGGAAAATCACAGTGGTGGCACCCAGGAAGGTCACCACAGTGAGGTAGCTCAGGGTGATCTCAGGCAGTATGACAGCCACAGAAGGGCCTGAAAGACAACGGGACAAGGCAGAGACCCCGATGTTCCATTGCCCACCCCCTTCAACCCCTGGGAACTCTGCATTACATCCCTTCCCCACCCTCCTCTGACTTCCAGCATTTCCTTGCAGCCTCTCCATTCTCTGATCATTTTACTGTCCTGCCAGGACTCATCCTGGGAAAGGGAACTGGGAAAAGGGGAAAAACTGTATTAATTGTCTCAGGGGGGTGTGTAATGCACGTGGTGGTCCAGGCTCCCCCAGACCTGGAGATCACACGTGGATCATGTATTGCTCTGGATGGGTCTGTCCCCCACATTCCATGGCATGACTCCCCTGTCCCTCACTGCCTTCCTCTCTGGGCCCCACTGGACACTGCATCTCCCATGGGGTCTGTCCCCCCTCCCTCCAAACCTCCCCACAGCCCCCTCTGACCTTCCTCCCACATCCAGAGGATGCCAGCGGTGCCATCCAGGATGCAGGCAATGCACACCAGCCCGCAGGTGTAGGAGCTGAGCCACCTCCAGAGCTCCCCCCCTAAAAGCCCAGAGCAGAGGGGGGTGACTGCTGTGACCCCCAGGAATCCCATGCCAGCCGTCACCCCTTCCTCAGGGTGGGGTGCAGCCTGTCCCCACCCAGATGCTGTAGGATATACCAGGATCTGGGGGTTCCCAGAGCATTGCTCTCCCCCACCAGACATGGGAAATGGGGTCCCGCTCCCCCCAGCTCACTTATCCTGAGCTTTTCGGACTGGCAGACAGGAATAATTAATCCCCACGCTGAGACAACAGCAAAGACCACAGCGATTACCGCCATCCTCAGGGTGTGCTTCAAGCGATGGGAGAGACCTGGAAAAGAGCAACCCCAAGGGGCAGGAGATGGGACATCAGCAGGAACAGCCCCCTGGCCCTGGTGGCTGCAGGGATCCTCCATCATCAGGACAGATTCCATTTATGCCAGCTGGTGGCCAAATACACACCATGCAATGTCCAGCCTGGGATGGGTGCTCCCCACAGGCTTCTGGGCCACCCTCCTGCCCATGTCCTGCTCAGCATCACCTTGGCCAAGGGCCATCGTTTTGGACTTGCCCCAAGAGGGAACGGCCAATCTCCTGCCAAGGACTGTGCCTTGGTGGGATCAGAGGCTGGGAATTGCTGCTGGTCATCCCAAGATGGGCAGCTCCTGGCAGCAGCATGTGGGCACCACCTCCTGGGGAGGGCAGCCAGACTGCAGGGAATGGAAGCTGAGGGATTGGATGGAACCACTGAGACATCCCCAGGGAGTAGTGGAGGGCAGGAGGAGCAGTGGGAGGTGAGACCTTCAATGGTGACCTCCAGGGAGGTTTCTTGCCAGCTGATCCGGTTGCTGGCATTGCAGGAATAGGAGCCGCAGTCTGACTTCTTGGCTGGCCTCAGGTACAGAGCACTGCGGCCGCTGGACAGCTGGGAAGCTCTGTCTGGGAGAAGGGGCTGCCCATCCTTCTTCCAGGTGATGGTGTCCACTCTGCCCTCTGCCACCTCACAGACAAGCTGGCCAGTGGCCCGAGCCAGGAGGCTGCTGCTCTGGAGCTGAGGGCGGGACACAGGCTCTGGGAAGGGAACAGAGACCCCAGCACTTCTCTCAGACATAGAATCACAAAAAAATGACCTTAAAGCTCATCCTATTCCACCCCTTACCACAGACAGGTTTCTCCACTATCCTAGGCTGCTCCAAGCCCTGTCCAACCTGGCCTTGGACACTTCCAGGCATCCAGGGGCAGCCACATCTTCCCTGGGAATCTGTGCCACTGAATGTGACCCAGAGCATCCCTGATGGGCCCTTGGGCTGCAATTGTCACCACAGCATCAGCCACAGCATGGTCACAGGTGCCTTTCCCTTAGGAAGCCCATCCTGCTGCTGTGCTTTCTAGGACTGGTTTTTTTTTTTTCCAGTTGAATCACTGCTTTAATGGATGTGGGTAAGTATAGAGCACTTTGAAATGCATCAGAAAATGAGAAAATAGCAGAGAAGGCAGCAGATGCCACTCGGATGGTGTGTGGCTGGAAGGAGAGGTGGGTGGTGAAGGGCTGCGGTGGCATTACGGCCATGGCGTGATTGGTGAGATAAGCCAGAGCAAATTAGGGGAATTGCTGGCAGCAGTGCTGAGGAGGGACTTGTGGCTCTTTCAAGTGCCTCTCTGTGGTGGCAGCTGGTGCCTGCAGAGGGCAAGCGGAACAGCCTGGCCTTGAGGGGTGGTGGCTTCTCCAGAAAGCTCAGCTCCATTGGCTCTGCCAGCTGTCCCCTGGCAAAGTGCTGGGGGGAGGGTCCCTGCAGGTGGCAGAGTCACAGCAACCCACCGGTCCCTCCATTATCCCTCTGCTTCCTCCACCACCCCCCCAGTTCCTCCACCCTCGCACTGGTCCCTGCATCAGCCCCATCACCCCACTAGTCCCTCCATCATCCTACCAGTCACTCCGCCATCCCTTTATCCTCCCACCTGTCCCTCCATCCCTGCACTGAAATGTGGGAAAAAAGGGATGGAATTGCCTTTCCAGGATGGAACTTTTTCCTTTGTCCCAGCCAGGCCCCTGGAAGGTCTCACTGGGCAGCACTTCCAGATTTGCTCTTCTAGGACAGGTTTGGAACCTCTTTCCAAGATCTCTCGGTGCTGTGTCCACACATGACAGGTGCAAACAAGCTCAGGACTGGCTCGTCAGCCTCTGCTCAAATCCCTTCTCCAACCCCTTTGCCCTGGCTCTTGGTCCATGTACAGACAGATTCTGTTTGGGTCCAGCACCCCGCTGCTCCCTCCCACACCCACCACTCACGGAGGACTTCCAGCCGGATTTCCAGGCTCTTCCTGTCTCCTGTGTTGACAGTCACTCTGTAGGTGCCACTGTCACTTTCCTGGACATCCTCCAGCAGCAGAGATCCATTGGATGGATGGAAAATGGCTCGTCCTGCATAGGGAGCATGGATGGCTGGGGCGTGGGCCCCCCCCTCGTGTTGCAGGATGGGGAGGGGGCCGCTGCCGTTGAGGAATTCCCAGCGCATGGAATCGCTGTGGGTGACGTTATCCAGCCCAGGGAGCAGCACCGAGGATCCCACAGCAGTGGCTCTGTGGACAGCTCCCGTTGCTCCCAGAGCTGGAGGAAACGACACCAGCAGCCCTGCAGGGAGGAGAGGGGGCTGGGAGCAACTGCTCTGGGGAAAGATGTCTCTGCCCATGGCAGAGGAGTGGAATGAGCTTCTCCTACCTGGCCTTTTTGTACTGACCTAATTTCCATGTCTCATTCCCAATTCAGAAAACCCTGGAAGTTTTTGTGTTGGAAGGGAGCTCAAAGCCCGTGTCATTCCAGCTCTGCCATCCTCAGGGACACCTTCCACTGGACATGGCTGCTCCAAGCCCTGTTCAGCCTGCCTTTGAAGACTTCCAGGAATGGGACAGCCACAAAATTGCTAGTCTTGTTTGGGGCTGAAGGTGTCCACGTGCCCCCCACTGTGCAGGATGCAGCCACCATCCCAAGATTTCTGGGCTTGTCACAACTTGGGCTCTGGCAGATGCTCAAGGACTTAAGGAGGAGCCACTGTGGGAAGGTCACAGCTGCCAGACCCCCATCCCCAGTGAAGAGGATTCCAGGAGAGAGGAGAGGGAGGGGAGGCTCCCCAGCCCCCGTGGCTCCGGAGCTGGGCAGAGGCCAGGGATCCTCACAGGCTGTGTTTGCTCTCGGCCCTGTCTCAGCTCCTCCCCAGATAAGCACCTGTTCACCTGCATTCCCACTGCACCTGCCAGGCAAACTGCCCTGGAAACTCCTGCTTCTCCCACTGGCGATGGTGCAGCACAGGTGGGAGGGAAAATAAGTGTGACAATCCAGGTGAAGTCAAGTTCATCAGGTGATTTTAATTTCTCACTCTTATAACCTTGAAAGGCAGCTGTTTTCATGCCCTCCTGGTCCCCAAACTGTAGATGTGGAGGAAGAAAATACAATTTAATGATTTAAAATTCTTACTCTCTGAAAAAAATTCTCTGAAAATTTTCCTTTTTCTGCTGAGAAAACACTATTTACAGAGAACAGAACAGTGAGCTGAAGGAAAGAGGAAAACACTTCATCTTTTGCAGCTGCAATGGCCAAAACTCATCCTACAGACTCTGAGAGCTCACTGACACCGTCCCAAAATCAAGCTGTAGGGTAACGGGCTTCCTTTCTGTTTTAGATGCTCATCCTGAAAATCTCTCTGCATTTGGATCTAGCCCAGAGCAGTTGTGGCTACCCCATTCCTGGAAGTGTTCAAGACCAGGTTGGACAGAGCTTGGAGCGAGCTGGGGATGGAATGGGAGGAATTCAAGGTCCTTTTCAACCCAAACCCTCCAGTTATTCCATGGTTTGTGTTTCAAGGCAGCCAGTGACTATTTAAAGGAGCACAGTGAAAAGGCTCACACGACTTTAACTGAACTAAAATTTGTGGTTTTAAAAACATTCAATATTTTTACATATCCATTTTTAACACAAACACAGATATTAACATATACACCGATATTTATGTGTGAGTACATCTATCAGCCCCACTATAAATCTGGCTGCAGCAGTGGCTCTTCCACCTCCTCTCTCCTTGGGCAAACACGCCTTTGCCTTCCAGGTTAAACCTTTTACCCACCTAAAACGTGCGGCCCGGAGCTGCCCACGCTCGGCTCCGGAGGGCTTTGGAAGCGGCGAGGAGCCCTGGGGCCGGCCCCGGCTCCCAGCCCAGCCCAGCCGGGCACTCCTTACCTGCGAGGAGCGCCCAGGCGGTGCCCAGCAGCTCCGCGGGACGGCACAGCAGCATCTGCCAAGAGAAAACAGTCCCAGACATCCCCGATTTCCAAAACGCCCTCACAATTCCGCGCTGTGCTGAGCGGCAGGTGAGGCGGTACCGCGGCTTTGCAGCCCTGGGGTGGATTCCCGGTGCCGCGGGTACTGCCAGCCTGTTTTCCTGCCGATGGCTCCTCTCCCTCCGCGCCGATTCCCCTCCCAGGCTCTTCCCGGGAGTGGCAGCAGCGGCAGCTCCCGCTCCTGTCCCCGCTGCCCCGGGGGAAAAGGAGCTGCCCGTGGCTCCGGCGCCGCTCTTGCATCCGCCGGGGGCTCTGCCGGCACAGGGCAGGGGGTCCCACAGAAATAGAAATTACCGGGGGCATCCCAGGTCATTTTCCTGCCCCGAGACCAGGAGATCCATCCCTATCCCTTTCCCACAGCTCAATCCTCTCCCAGAGCCTGCAGCAGAGCTGGAACTCACCCCCAGGCTGTTTCTAAGGGGTGCAGGGGTTCAGCGTGGCTCTAAAACATCTGTGAGCAGCTTTTTCCTCCACCCCTTGAGGTGCTTGAGGTGTACTGGGTTCATCTACATCCCACAGGCTTTCTGAAAAGGGAATTTCGTTTACGGGAGGGATACTCCTGGGATCAGGACCCAGGAACCTCATTTTGTTACATCTATCTCAAAATAATGGAATTCCAGACGGGTTTGGGTTGGGAGGGACCTTAAAATCCACCCCATTCTACCCTTCAGCCGTGATCCCTTCTACTGGACCAGGTTGCTCCAAGCCCCAAATGAGGAGGGAAGCTAAAAATGGAAACATTTTTCAGCTGGGCTGGAAGCAGCTTCCCCCGGTTTTATTCGAGTCCTGTGAGAGTCCAAAGACTCTTGATGGCACCAGAGGGGACCAAGGGGGATGCACTGAAAGCTGCACCTGCACAATCCTGAGAGCTGGGAGTGAGCAGAGGGCTCTGGAGTGCACTGCGGGAAAATGGGAAGCTCTGGGAGACACTGGAGGGAAAATGTGGCCACCAGGTGAATGGGGAGGGTTTGGTTTCACTGCAGGGCTGAGGACTCTGGGGAGACCCAAAAACTGGAGGAGGGGCTGAACTGCAGAGCCAAGAGGAAAGGGAGGGGTTCCAAGGGAGGAACTGGGATCCCTGTAGGACAAGCCAGCAAACAGGGATGGGGGGAGTGGAGCCAGCTGAAGGTCTGGACGTGTGGAGGGAACACTCGGGCTGCACGGGGTGAGGGACAGACGGCCCCCGCGGCAAAGGGGACCCACCCGGGCCCCTGGAATGTGCAGATGGGAACGGAGGATCCCGGGATACAGCAACACCCTGCAGCCTCTCTCCGGGATCCATCAGCTGCCCTGGCCTCACCGGCCTTCAGAGCAGGCCCAGGTCCTGCAGGCAACCGCACGTCCCCCAGACCGAGGTCTCCAGATCTCCCACATCATTCCCGCCCTCTGCTCCACACTTTGTGGGTGCCTCCACGGGCACCACAGCCCACAGCTCCTAAAAAACGTTTACAGCCTCAGAGGCTCTGAACAGCAATTCCTGGCCTTCTCCAGAGGGATGGAGAGAGAGCAGCGGCACGAACTGCACCGGCACCGCCGGGAGCCCCGAGCCCGCCCGGGATGGGACTCGGGGGTTTTGAAACACGAATTTCTGGCATCTTGTGCCATCGTGCGGCCAGAGCAAGGCCCGCGCAGCGGCACGGGGCGGGGGATGCGGGCCGGGTGTGCGGGATGCCGTGCGGGGGATGCGGGCCGGGTGTGCGGGATGCCGTGCGGGGGACGCGGGCCGGGTGTGCGGGGGGATTGCGGGACGGGTGTGCGGGATGCCCTGCAGGGGTGTGCGGGATGCGGGCCGGGTGTGCGGGATGCCGTGCAGGGGTGCGGGGGATGCGGGCCGGGTGTGCGGGATGCCGTGGGTGCGCCAGCCCAGCCCGAGGGTCCCGCTCGCTCAGGACGGGGACTGTCCCCGTCGCTGGAAGAGGGCGACTTCCAGCTGGGAATGCTCAGACACGGCAAGCAGAACCCTTTTTTCTTTCCTTGGCTGTGGAAGGGAGTGGCTTTGTCCCCTTCAAGAACTGGAGGTGGAAGAGGAGGGACCCTCTTTGTTTTGCTGGGTTCACTCCAGAGGGAGTCTCCCCACAGGTCCCAGCTGCCACCTGGCCACACCACTGCCACCTCTCTCATTTGTCCCAGGGGCCCGGTGACACTTTTTGATGGTAAATATTCTTTCTGTGGGCAAACCATTCTCATTTTGTACAATCTTTTATTAATATCATTGTGATTATTGTGATTTCTTCAGTAACTCGTGACTCCAACTCAGAACCTCTCCTCATGTTTTTCTTCCACTATGGAAAGGGTTTGGCTGGAGGGGGCTTAATTTTCCTGCTGAGTTTTAAAATTGGCTCCTACCAGGATCCAAGGCTGCCGTTGGAGCTTTACCTGACAGAGGGCAGCTCCCCTGGCACCACCTGCCCAGCCTGGGCTCAGAAATCCCTTTGAGCCCTGCTGACTCCCAGGGGCTTCACTGGGGATGGGAAGCACTGCAGAGGGAACACCAGGACTGGGAGCATCAGGGAGCTCAGCCCACAGCAAGAGCAGATTTCAGGACTGTCTTGGCACCATGATCTCTACATTCAGTGTTTGGATTAAACAAGAGCAGCAAATTCAGTGCCTGTGCACCTGCACTGCCCTGCCCCGAGGACACAGAGCACCTCACACGGCACAGCCAGGGGTGAAGGGGCCCAGCCCTGCTTTAAGGTCTGGTCAGAGCAGAGGGAACAGCCCAAAAGATATGGCAGAATGAAAAATGTCTAACAGCAGGATCTGCTTTTGTTCCTTACCCTGTGGCACTTCAGCATGCCAGATCCCAGGAGCTCAAAGGCACCTCTGAGTTACATTCAGAGGAGGAGAATTTTGGGAAAAAATACACCCAAAGAGTGAGTTTCATGCACCAAAGTATGATGATGACCTAACAACAATTCCTTAAGAAAGAATGGAAGAGGAGGCACGGTGGGAAGTTTGTCAGGAATCCTGGGGCTGCTGAGCGTTGCCACAAGTGCAGTGCAACAGGCAGAAGGAACAGCAGCATGGCAGTACTGGAAGTCAAGGAAAAGTGGGAATTCCATCCCTCATCTAACATCATCATCTCTGCTTCCCAACATGCAGATCTTGGTGCTTCCCTTTCCCATCTCTAACCGAAACCTTCTCTGAAATGCTCAAAGTACACCAGGATCTTTCCAGGCCCTCTCTCAGGCTGTTTGGCTGCGTGATCAGTGATAAGAGACAAGATCCCAGATATTTCCATTCTGCTCTGCTAAAAGTCCCCTGAAACTGGCAGCTGAAAAAAAGGCCAAACAGGGAATCCTGAAGGCACTTGCTTGGAGGACCACTTACTGTGGTGGGATTAACCACGACTGAGCCACCCTGGCTGGGAGGACCAGGCTGGGAGCATGGACAGCAAGAGCTGCCTGTGCTCTAAGGCGGAGTGTGGTCCAAAAAAATGGTACCACAACCTTTGGTTTCCACCTGCCCCCTCGCCTGAGCAGGCCCTGGGAGCTGCTCGGAGAGGGTGGAGGTGCCTGAGGTATTGCAGTGTCTTTGTCCTGGTGAGGCACTGGCACGGAGGGCCCGGAGCACCTGGGGAGGCACCAGCCCACCTGGCCTGGTGTGGAGTGGGGCTGGGGGCTCCTGCCTCTCCCAGGGGTGGCACCGAGGGGCTGCTTGCCTTTCCCAAAAGTGGGACTGGGGGCTGCCAGCCACTCCTGGAGGTGAGACTGGGGGCTGCCCACCTCTCCTGGCAGTGGGACTGGGAGGGTCCTGCCTCTCCCAGAGGAGGGGCTGGGGGCTCCCTGGCTCTCTGGAGGGTGGGCTAGGCCTGCAGCCCCAGCAGGCGGGCGGTGTTCAGCACGTCGTCCCTCGTCAGGTAACACCCACAGAGCTGCCGGTACCCGGTGAACGCCTCCCGGCCGTGCAGGACACGCCAGTTATCCACAAACAGGACCTGCAGGGAAGGGAAAAGGTCATCAGGAGGACAGCAACCACAGCAGGCAGGGCCAGGAGCCTCTGGCAGGGCAGGTCCTGGGGATCCCTGGACACTGGAAGAGCAGGTAAGGGTGTGCCACAGTGGGCACGAGCCTCCTGTTCCACACTGGCACAGGTGAGGCTACAGCCAGCTGTCCCACAGGATCCAGCACTTTCACCAGCTCTTATGGAGCCAGCCCAGAAACACATTTTGGGATTTCTTTGCCTTTCTACTGGAGAGGAAATAGTTCACCAGCAATAGACAGTGGCCAACTTGTCACTGAATCCCAGCATGCTTGAGCTGGAAGGAACCTTAAAACCCATCCTGTTCCACCCTTTGCCATGGGCATGGATACCTTCCACTATCCCAGGTTGCTCCAAGCCCCATGGAACCTGGATTTGAATGCTTTCAGGGATGAGGCAGCCCCAACCACCTACCTCTGTGGTGTCACTTACCCACGTAAGGGCTCAAACATAACCTCAGAACTGTAATTTCTTTAGGAAGAATTGAAAGCCTGAATATTAGGTGTTCTGGCCTCTCTGCTCCTGAGGGATTCTCATTTCAGCAGCTGGAAACTGGGACTAACTTTCCTTTGAGGCAGAGCTTGAACTAAACATCTCTGCCTCACCTGGGAGCTCATACTGCTTTAGGACAGTCTCAGAACTGTAAATTCTTTTGGAAGAAGTGAAAGCCTGAACATTAGGTATTCTCGCCTCTCTGCTCCTGAGGATTCTTATTTCAGCAGCTGGAAACTGGGACTAACTTTCCTCTGAGGCAGAACTTGAACTAAACATCTCTGCCTCACCTGGGAGCTCATACTGCTTTAGGACAGCAGAAAAAACACACACGCAGAAGCCACTACTGTTAACACTGGAGCACCCAGAACGAGGCGAACTGCTGAATATGGCAGAGCCCAGACACCGGCACACCCACAGAGCACCCTGCCCTTCTCCCTGTGCCAAACCCACGGGATTCAGCTCCCAGTTCCACCCTGGACCAGTCCTAGAGGATGTAGCTCCAGGTCCCACCTTGCCTGGCTTCAGCTTGACCCAGAGCTCGTTGTCGGGCCGGCGCAGCTCGGCGGTGAGGGCGCGGTGCGCGTGGTACCAGCGGCGCACCACGTCATGGGGCACCGTGTTGATCACGGCACGGTCGTAGTTGTTGTACCTGCAGGGAGAGAAGAGACAAGAGACTGCCCAACACAGCTCCAGGTGCTTCCAAGAGAACCTCAGGAGCCTGTGGGGTTAGTGGGTATTTAAGGGAGGCTGCAGAGGTGACCAGAGAGGTTGTGCTGCCAGCACAGGACTTGGGGAACACAGCACTGAGGGCAAGAGGAGTTTATTATCAAGTGTACGCCCTTCTTCCTGGCTTTCCACGGAAAGACATGGCAAGACTGAGGTTTGCTTAGAATAAAAGTGCAAAGCAATGCTGGACAACCTCCTAGAACTGAGGCGAACTGGAGTTTCAAAAATCAGCCCATGCTCCCTTTGTAAGGGATCACTCTGCACTCTCCCTGTTCCCTGTGTGCCAGGATAGTTTCTAGAGGCTTCTCCAGAGAAGGGCTTAATTTTTCTGCATCTCACATAGAATGAGATGAGAGCTTGGAGCTGAAGGGAGAATACCAGGAGTAAAAAATCAAAGTTCAGCACTGACACCCATCTTTGCATCAGTGGTGCTGAGGCCTCCTCTAAAGCAGGAGGAACACGGGGTGTTCCTGTGGTTTCATCCCTGCTCATCAAAGACACCCTGGTTTTCAGCCCATGGAATGTTCTAAAAAACCACCACCACAACACCTTCTCCTCCCCGGAGGCCTCCTGGCCATTACCTGATGAGGTAAAGCTCGTTGTTCCAGGGGTAGACGTTGAGCACCGGCCCCACTCCGATCATGTGGTTGTGGCAGCCGCCCACGTTCTCCACGTACTCGTGTTTGAGGGGCACCTTGGCCAGCAGCTCGAAGTGCTCCGGGGCCTGGCGCAGCACCTGCTGGGCCGCGTGGAACCCGTCCACCAGCAGCGTCCGCCCTCCCGTGCCCTCGTGCTTCAGGCAGTGGAACACCTGGATGCTGCACGGAGACAGAATCCCAGAGGAATGACCGTGGCTGTCTATCCCCTGGGCACAAGGTGCTGCCCAAGGACACAGCCAGGTGATGCACCACCCATCCCTGCTGCTTCTCCAGACCCAATCCCACATGTTTTGCTGGGTGAGGAGGTGGTAAATTGCCTGTGTTGCATCCCAAACCTCGTGAGTCTGGGGACTTCAGGAGCTGCAGGAGGAAGGCTGTGTCACCCAAAAACCAAACCCAAAGAAGCTGTGGCTGCCCCATTCCTGGAAGTGTCCAAGGACAGGCTGAATGGGGCTTTGAGCAACCTGGGCAGTGGAAGGTGTCCCTGCAGCAGCACGTACCCACAGGGCTCCTGGAAGTAGGTGGTGTCTGTGTGCCGGTCCAGGGCCAGCTTGGTGTAGGCTGTGTCTCCCCGGGAGAAGTCAGAGGTGAAGTACCACATCCTGCCATAAATGGTCTCCCTGGAAAAGAGATGGGCAGTTATCATAGGTCAGTGTCTGGGTAAGGCACATCCTCCCCTACACTTGAGTTATTCCTTCTGTCCCATGCACAGAGTCATTAAAGCAGAAAAACTTCACAAAATTCAGATGGTCAGGGATGGTGCTCCTAATCCCTCTTCTGGTGTTCAGCTCCTCTTTCCTCCCCAAAAGGCTGGTGGAGATGAGTCTTCCCCTCCACAACCACTGATGTTTCCACTCCAACCATCATCCCCAGTCACAGAAGTGACACAAGGAGCTGTCTACGTGCAGCCAGCCCTTACTTGTATCCACACAAGGATAGGGTTGCCCAATAATTCAATTTCTTCTTCCCAGAATCCTATTTTCACTACCCCTCCCCTACAACACGCACAGGAGGGAAGGGACACCAGGCCAAAAAGTACTCAGGGGCTACAGGGGGAGGGTGCCTGGAGACAAAAGCTGGCTGGATATTCCCTGGAGCCCCTTGTTTCCATTTGGAGTGACCGTTCATTAAGAGGAATCCCTCCTTTTCCAACAGCTCCAGGCAAATCAAATTGTTTGTACAGCTTGGATAAAGCCCCGAGCTCAGCCCCTGGCCTGCCATGCTGGTAGTGCTTTAGACAAACCCAGCACCAACACCTCTCACTGTTTTTCTCTAGCAAGAGCTCCAACTGGTCTTTGATCTCCCTGGCTCCCAGGGCCAAGCCGCCCTCATGACCCCTCAAGTCATAACAGGAAATGTCTCCTTGCAAAGCCCTGCTCTTCCCAGCCAGCCACTTCCTTCAGTCCCTCCTCTCTGCACAGTCCCACTGTCACAAAAGTCATGGGATGCTCCTGGGGCAGCTCAATGACTGAGTGATTCACAGCTCTTCCATAAAGGAGGTTGGACCCCACAGTGGGATCCTCCATCCCAGGTCCAGGGGAGAAGCCAGAGCATTTGTCTACAAACCAGGCCATGCCACACGTAACACAGAACAAGGAGGCAGCAGCTTTCCAAACAGAAAGAAAACAAGTTTATCCTTCCCAGGATAGCCCAGATACCTGATGATGCTGATCCTCTTTGCCAAGATTTCCGTGTCCTCTTTGGTGGGAATGACATTCTCCACAAAAGCAATCCCGTACAACAAGAAGCTCTGCAGGAATTCCTTCAGACCCTCGTCTGTCTCCAGGAAGCTCCGGCAGTCGATGGAGGGGACCTGGGCTTGCCGGTAGATCTCAGCATTCCAGAGGATCCGGGGGTGCATGACCTGCTGCTTCTGCCCCTCGTAGCTGTTCCTCGCCAGCCACTCCAGCCCGTACCGTGTCACGTGTCCATCCGGCCCTGGCACGGGAACAAGGGCACAGTCACCAAAACCCCACTGAACAGCCCAACATTGTGGCACCCGTCAGCCCTCACCCTTGTCACCTGTCTGGGGATGGGTCCTTTGCACCCTGCTGCCACCCAAAATATGACCTGAAAGGCCACGAGTCCTAAAGGTGTTGTCATTGCCGCCACAACTCCAAATTCAGGGAAGCTGCTGCAACCCTCTCCAAATTCCCAGCCAACAGTTGCATCTGCAGTGGTTTTGGCTTTTACTGACAGGCCTCCAAGGACAATCAAAGCTCTGAAGTCAAGCCTTCAAATAAAAGTAAGCCCCACCAAAAGGAAGAAAGCAGCTGGGAAAGTGAGGAGGACAGAGAACGGGTATGGTGAGCAGGGCTGACAGCTGCTCACACAGAACAGGGAAGGAAAAGAGAAGCAAATGTGTCAGGCTCCACCAGTTCACCACCTGCACTGCTGGGGGAGTTTGACCAACCTAGACACTGCACACACACAAGAAGGGCTGGGGCAGGAAAACCACTCCACTTTGATGCAGAGGTGTGTTTACAGTGAGAGCAGTGTTTAAAACCCGCTCACGGCTCAGTATCTTCCCAGACAGGCAGATCCGGGGGTAATGCTGTCCATCAGCAGGCACAGGAGGGCACAGGTGTTCAGGACTCACAGGTGAGGAAGAGCGTGGTCTCGTCCACCCGCACAGCCTGGGGCTGGATGGCCAGGTCCACGCTGGCCGTGTCCAGGCTGCGCTGGTTGGTCTTGGCGTTGTAGCAGGAGGCGGAGCGGCAGTGGTCCCGCAGCCACACGAAATCCAGGCGCATCACGGTGCTGCCGTACCTCAGCTCTGCCAGGGATGGGAGCAGAGGAGGCTTTGGGGCAACAGGGAGGACAAACAAAGCCAAGAATTGAAGCCCAGAGCCCGCACATTATCATCCCAGTTACAGGGGATGCAGCAGTACCCCTTGACATCAATTGTCACAAGAGGAAGACCTGGCAGAGTACCTTATCAAAGGCCTGGCTCCTTTGCTTTGGAGCCACTGTGTAAAATGCTGAGCAATTCCCTTGGCTTGCAAGTGACTCGGAGTACTGAGATCTCACTGGCCACAGCTGCCAACCCTGCACAAGGTGGGGCAGCAGAGGTAGGCACATACCAGAGCCAAGGGGGGCTGTGCCAAGGAGAGCCTGAGCATGGCACAGAAAATGGTGCCTGACAGGGCACGGCTCAGACAGTTTTTGTTCAGGAATCCCTGGATTTGATTACTTATTTAGCAGTGCCTCATTTATCATAGAAGACAAGGCTGCTCCATCCTGCCTTTGGGAATTCCAGCAGGGAACATGAAACAGCACCCAGTGTGCATCCCTCTAACGCAGGCTGTTTCAGAAGCAAAGCACACATCATTCCAGGGAACAAGGGTGGAATCCCTCCCCGCTGTCCCCACGCAGAGCAGGAGCACCCTCACCCAGCATACCTACCGAGATGGTCTCGGTGCAGCTGCCAGGCACAGCAGGGGGACGCCGGGGCCGTGGGGCGGCAGCGTGCTGGGACAGCCAGGACGGTCTCGGGGCCCCGGGGCAGCCACGGCCGGCGATGTCCGGTGCTCCCGTGTCGCCCCCGGAGCAGCCACGCCAGCCTCTGGCACCACATCCTGGCAGTCAGGAGAGAGGGGACAAGGTGACTTGGATGTGATACTCTGTCCTAAACCCCACCAGGACACAGCCCTGAGGAGACACAAAGGACATGCTGGGATTCTGTGAGGCTGGGCAGGCTCTGGCACAGGGTGCCCGGAGAAGCTGTGGCTGACCCTGAATCCCTGGAAGTGTCCAAGGCCAAGTTGATATCGGGGTTTGGAGCCACCTGGGCTCGTGGAAGGTGTCCCTGCCCACGGCAAGGGGTGGAATAGGATGAGCTTTAAGGTCCCTTCCAACCCAAGCCATTCCATGATTCTGTGATTTACCAGGCAAAACCAATCCAGGAGGGACAGCTGTGTTCAACACTCTTGCGCAAAACAGTGGCAAAGCCCCATCTCTGAAGGTCTTGTCCCCCCTCCAGCATTCCCAGTTTGAATTCACCATTCCTGGATGGAACTGCAGCAATCAGGGAAGCAAAGTGACCTTGGTTAGGGAAGCAATAACAGAGGAATCTGGTAATTAGGTCAGTTCTAGAAAAAGCAGGCAAAACAATGAGGAGGAGGAGGAAGATCTCTGCTGCTGGTGAAGAACACAGCTGGCACGGAGGAGAAACCACCGTGATTAATTTTAGGATAGAGATTAGAAGGAGATTTCTCCAAGGGAAATTTGTAACAACTTTTCAGTGCAAGGAGCAAGGGCAAAAACCTGACAAGTTTTAGGAGATGATGCCTCAGTCTAAATGCCTGCTATGTTTATGAATTTCTGGGGGCCAGGTCTAAGCAGGATTTTAACAGCACTTTGAAGTGCACTGAAATGTGGTCTCCCTGGATAAGACACAGGCTCAGAAAGCATTTCTTATCCTAGACTTCTGATTTTCCTTCACTTTCTTATCTGGAGAGTCCAGGCACTGGAGCTCTGGCTGTCCAAGCTGCTTCTGCTCTACAGAGACCTCAAAAGCTGCTGATAATAACCAAATCCACAGAGGTGCCACATTCCCAGCAGCAACTTGTTAAGCAGGGCTGAAAGAATGCAGACATCCCTAGGGAGAAAAAGTGGGAACGGTTTTGAAGAGAAGGCTTGAGATGAAGGCACACTGACACACTTCAGCCACAGAGCCCTTTCCATGAGAAATTTGCCCAACATCCAAACTAAACCTCCCCTGGCACAGCTTGAGGGTGTTTCCTCTTATCCTATCCCTCGTTACTGGGGAGAAGAGACCAAACCCCCTGGCTCCAGCCTCCTTTTCCAAGATATCCAGTTCCTGTTCCTGCTGCCCAGCTTTGAAAATCTGCTATAGGAAGAGGAATGAGCCCCATCTGACACACAAATCTCATAAACAAGAGGAGAAAACCTACAGCTACAAAACCCAGGAGCTGCCCCTGACTTTTATCAGCTTTAAAATCTTAAAGAAATTATTTAAATCCCTCAACCAACAACTCACAAAGTTTATCTGAGAGAGGGAAAGTCTGTCCAGTTTGGCTTTTGGATCCACTATCCCAAGGAGGGGTGGAAAACAGAAGGAATCTTGCTTGCACACACAGACAGGACCCAAAATACCAGGAAAAGACTCACTCAGAAATCCATCAGCACATGGCCTGTGCCTGGGGCAGCTCCAGCCTTAGTCTGATCTTTCCACACACATTTCTTTTATCTCCTCCCCTCCCAATATCAAAACTGAGAAGGAAATTAACACAGGTAATGAGAAGTGACCCAGATAATTAAACCTAATCAGGGAGATCTTCATGTTGCTCTTCCTGGAAGAAAACACCACAGGCAGCCCAGTGAGAGCCTTAAATTCAATCTTTCCAAGAGATACTAAAACTAAGAGGCATTAAACCCCCAAAAATCTGTATGACCAGGGAAGATTTATAATTTTTGTTGTTTCATCAGAGCTAACAGCTGGATGAGCTACATGAACAGCAAACCCTCTTCCTGCACCTCCTGCTACCTCACCTTTATGCTTTATGTGGTCCAGACACTTGGGCAGCATTGAAATGAGAGAATTCCAGACAAAAGTTTCTTCAGAATTGAAAGGGAAAGGGCAGGAGGGAGCAGACATTAAGTACTCAGTGCATAAACACACATGGTGAGTGACACAGGACCCACAGGGTGAAGGAGAGAACAGTGCTGGAGGGAAAAGCAGAAACCTCAAATCTATTGTGATTTGAGGAATCCCCATCAGTCTTTGGAGAGAAAGGACAGGAGATGATGTGGAAGGAGCAGAAAGGAAGGCTGGGTTTCAAAGAGGTTAATCTTAACCCTAACACTGCAGTTTGTTTCACAAGAAACATTTCAAGGAAACAAAACTGGGTTTAACCTCTCTGAAGAAAAGCCACAATCCCCATTCTGGGCAAAGGAAATGGTGAAAAAATGAGTGGCCAAATAGTTTCAGCAATGGGAACATCTGAGAAAGGAGAAACCCCACAAATCTGGAGGCTTTCACCAGCTTTTAGCCAAACCCTCCAGGGCATGGGATGACCCTGCTGCCCTCCCTGCCCTGCTCCAGCCCTCCAGCCTGTTTGTCCAGCTCCTCTGAAAAATAAATGGTGTTTTCTATTAAAAACACCTCAGACATTCAGCTTCTCACACTCACTCGGTTTTTCCTTCTGGAAGCACCTGGCTGGAACCAAGGTTTCTGTTCCATATGGAACAGGGAGCTGTGAGAAGCACAAGAGTCCAAAGGGAGGGAAAGGACTTTGGATTTTGATCCTCTGGGATCCTTTAACCTGACAGTTTTCTCTGCAGCGAAGGAACACCAGGAAAGAGAGGAATTCTGCAAAGGCTGAGCTGCCCTGAGGACTCTGCCAGAGCCAGAGGAGCCAAGAGCACAAGCCCAGGTGACAAACCAGATCCCCCAGGATGGCAGCAACTCTTTGACAGGACACAGGCAGAGTTTAACAGCCTGAGCTGACTCAGTTAATTACTATTAATTACCACAGAGACAAAAAGCAGACTGGCTGTTCCCTGCTGAGCTCCTGCCCTCAACCCTGCAGACAACTCCATCAGATCTCAGCTGTCAGGAACCAGATTCCCCTTCCAGTCCTTCCCCACGTGGGATTTCAATGAAATTAAGGAACTAATAAAGACATCCCAGGCACTGGCAGCTTCACAGCTACTTCATTTTCCTGGAAGCAAAGGGAATTATCTGCCCACCCCACGTTTCACACTGACCACCCGACACCAGGCCCCATTCCCAGAACCTTATTCCAGCCTCCTGTTTGCATTTCTCCCAAGCAAAGCCTTTCCAGGCCACACAGCTCAACAGAAACAATTTCTAATTCTGTTTTTTTTTTTTTTCCCCCAGCAAAACAGCCAGCCCTGATGGCAGAACCCCCCCAGAGGAGTTACTCCAATAAACTCCTATTGCTAAATCACTCCATGCTCTGGGTCCTGCCCGGGCAAAGAGGAGCCAGGCAGCTCTCCCGGGCGGGGAGGAGTTGTGTTTTTCCAGGGAACGAGGGAAAACAGCTCTGCCCACGAGCTGCAGCCTTTCGTTCCCTTTCGCTGGGACCGTAATTCCCGTGTGAGCCCGGGCCTGGCATTACCTGGGACCCTGGCACGCCGGGCGGAGCTGCGGGATGACGGAGCGAGGCTCGGGATGCGGGAAGGATCACGGAGGGGCTGTGCCGGAGGGAATTCCGCAGGGTCAGCGCTGCTGCTCCGGCCTCTCCGCCGCTCCTTCCCCCTCCTCCGGCTCCCTGCGCCCACCGGGCCGAAAACGCCGCTCGAAGCTTTCCCACATCGGCCGCTGCTGCCCGAGGGAACCGTATCGGTGACCCGGTAAAGAGGAAAGCGAACAAGGGAAAAAGCTACGTTGCAAACGGGTCCCTCTCCGAGGGGGCCCAAGCGCAGCCCCCGAGCCCCGCTCTGAGCTCGGGGACTGGGAGGCACCGCGACCACCGCGCCCCGCCTCGGCCCTCCACCCACCTCGGCGGCTCCCCGTGCGCCGGCGCGGCCCCGGTGCCTCGGAGCGGTGCTGCCGGGCCCCAGAGCCCGCAGGCGGCAGCGGGGCCGGGTCCGGAGCAGGGCCGGGGCCGCCTCAGGCCGCCTCGGGGCGGGGCCGCCGCCGCCATAGAGACACGCGGGGCAGAGCGCCCGCAAACCATAGAGCCGGGGCTGGACGGGGCCGGCGGCAAACGGGACCGGACCGGGACAGGATGGGGCTGCCCCTGGAGGTGCCGCGGCTCCCGGGGCCGCTCCGATCCGGGAGACCGCGGGACGGAGAGCCGCAGGCGGCACGGAGCTCGGGGAAGGAGATGGAGCGCGGCGCACGCCCCATGGGACGGGCAGGTGCCGCCAGCGTGCGGACAGCGGCAGCGGTGACGGGCTCGGGCACGGAGCGGTGCCGCAGAGTGCTGCCCCCTGGCGGGCAGGCGGGCAGATAGCGAGAGGAGAGGAGAGGAGCAGCGCTGCCCCGTCCCTGTCCCCGTCCCTGTCCCTGTCCCTGTCCCTGCCCCTGCCCCTGTCCCTGCCACTGCCTTGCCCCATCCCTGTCCCCGTCCCTGTCCCTGTCCCTGTCCCTACTCCCATCCTTGTCCTGTCCCTGCCTACCCCTTCCCTTTCCCTGCTCCCATCCCTGTTCTGTCCCTGCCTACCCCCTACCCCTTCCCCGTCACTGTCCTCCCTTCTCCTGTCCCTGTCCCCGTCCTTCCCCGCTGCAGCAGATGCTGTGCCGGGGATACACACACCACCTTTTGGGTTACAAAGCGCTGATTTTCATCCTAACCGGCTCATGGGCGTGCGCGCCGGGTTCCCCGCTGGAGGGCTGCCTTGGCCCGGCGGTGGCGGCCGCCGCCCCTCGCCCCCCTTCCACCACCCCAGCCCCGCAGCCCGCCCGACCCTGCCCTCCCGCCGCCTCCCTGGACGGCGTTCCCAGCCCCAAAGATGCTCCGGAGCAGCGCGGGGAGGACCCGCCGGGACCCTCGGGACAGTGGCTCCGGTCCCTGGAGCTGCGAGTTGTTCTGCAGCACGGAGCCCCCGCAGGGATTGAGCTGGTGGATCAGAAAAAGCTCCAGACCCGGCAGTGGGAGCGGCAGGTGGCACTGGGGAGAATAGATGACACGCGGTGACACAAGAGCCCTGGGAGTGGTTACCTAGGGATTAGGATGAACCTGTCAGACAGAAAGAATTCCAGAATGATTTGGGTTGGAAGAAACCCTAAAGCTAATCCCCTTCCAACTCCCCGCCGTGGGCAGAGACACTTTCCACTATCCCAGATTCCTCCAAGCCCCGTCCAAACTGGCCTGGAACAGGGGACATCCTAGGAACATTCTAGGGACATCCTGCTCTGTGCTTAAACGTGCTGGTGCCTCCCTGTGCTGGGAATGGGGCAGGATGAGTCTCCGCGGTGCCTCCCGGGTACCTGTGCAAACAAACCGCCCCAGCGAAGCACTTGGGAGATACTCCCCAGTGCTGTGCCGGAATTTCTATGCTGGTTTTCCAAGATCCAGGTGTTCTGATTCTTTCCAGCTTTCCTGCCGTGGGTGTGCGGGCAGAGCAGTCGCTCGCTGTCGCTGTCCTGGCAGCGAGGGGACGCGCTGGTGCCACCGCGGATTCCTGATTTCCGAGTGTTCTTCAGGAAAGGGGTGGGGGCGGCGCCTGGAACAAGCAGAGGAGCTGTCGGGGATCTGCTGCTTCCCAAAACCTCGGTGCAGCTCCCGCGGGAGATAAACAAGTTAGTCACTGGGTGAGCTCACGGCAAAGGCATCCTGGCCTCCATGAGAATTTGTCACAGGCCCTTCCCGGGGTGCGATAGTGTCCCGGTACCGGCTCCCGGGAGGAGGCAGCGGATGCGATGAGCAGTCTCGTGCTCGGGCAGTGCCTGTCGCCTGTCCCTCGGTCCTTCCTAGCAGGAAGCCCGGGCCCTTCTCTCTCTGTGCCCGGGCACAGCCCCTCGGACCAGCAGGGACTCACGGGTGCCTGCGGGATCCAGTCGTGTTCCCGATGGAAGTGATGGATGTGAGCAAACAGGATCAAACCGTGCCTGAGCTGAAAGGCTGGGCTGGGAGCTCTGGGGGCTCTGGGGAGAGGGGATGTCCCTTCCGTGGTGTCCCACTGGCTGCCTTTGGGATGGGCAGTGGAGCAGTGCTGGCTGGCCTGTGCGTTATGCTCACGGGGTTGTTTCTCCTTGGATGTGGAGCATGCTGGTCTCTGGAGCTCACTGGGATTTGTGGTCCCTCCTGTGCCCCTGGGTCCCGTGGGACAGCGACAGGCAGTGCCGGGGCCCTCTTGGAGGAGCCCATGTGCCCCCCAGGAGCCCAGCGCTCTGGGATGCACCTGCTGCTTGGCCTCAGCACGTAGGAACGCATGTGCTGGGAAAGAAAGTGCCTGGGAACTTTCTGGGGATTTCCCAGGGAGAGCTGGGATCTGGGAATTTTCTGCCCTCCCCCTTGTCCCCTCCTTCCTCACTCACACACTGCTCCTGGGGTCACAAACGGCTTTAAAAAAAGCAACAGCCCACACAATGCTCTTCCCTTCTCCAGCGGGTGCTGGTGACGAGATCCCGCATCCGGCAGGGGAGACGGAATTAGCCCTCTGCCTGGGAAAGGCCGTGCCAGGCCCTGCCAGCTGGTCCCACACTAAGGAGCTCCCGTGGCCACGCGCAGAGGAAAAAGACTCCGGATACTACAGGTGCATCCTCCCTTGGGCCTGCTCCGTGGAGTCATGCAAGAAATCTGTCCCCCTTCCCTACCCTAGGATTTCTTGGAAGTGGCCTTGGTGGTGCTGATGTCAAGCAGAGCTTTGGATGACGTGCAGGGCACACGGCAGTTTCTCTGTGCACGTGGGGGATGTTTCTGGACAAGGTTAGGACAGGAAATTAATGTTTTCCAGGAAATCTTGTGGCAATTTCCATGAAAGCAGCAGGAACCAAGGGTGGCTGAGCCAAGGAGATGTTCCTGGAAATTGTTTGTAGGGCAAAAGCTCTGAAAAATTTCGCTGTGGGTGTTGGAACAGTTTAACGAATAACCCACCTCACCCCTACCTGACATGAATGCTCCAACAAAACCCAACCCAACCAATCCAGGGGAAGCCAACATGAATGGCTCAACCCAACACAAATGACCCAACACAACATTAATGTCCAACGTAATCCAACATGGAAAACCCACCTCAATCTAACCTGACAGGAATGACCCGACCCAACCCAACTGACCCAACACAACCCAAAATGAATGACCCACCCAGCACAACCCAATGCAAAAGATCAATGTCACCCAGCATGAATGACCCATTTTGACCTAACCCAACCCAACATGGTGGTGCATGGACTGGAGCTCCAGGTGACTGGTCCTGACCTACCTTTGCTGTGGGAATGAAACGGAAGCTGGATGTGCACTGTCGAGGTGGCAGTTGGTACTTGTTGCTCTTCTACCTTCAGGAGTCCTACTGCAGATGGGTTTTCTGATAGTCCAGGAAAGGGGTTCAGTTGCTTAATGCCCTCTGCATGACCATGGGGAAGACATGGGAAGGTGGGATGGGAAACCCACTTCTGTCCTGGCAGTGCAGGTTCATCAACTCAAGGAGGGAAACACTAACCGAGGGAATTCCACTAAAGTGAATCACCATGATGTCTCCACCAGCCAGCAAGAAGGAAACACAAGCTTTCCTGGGTGCCAGAGGCTTTTGGAGAATGCACATTCCTGAGTACAGCCAGATTGTGAGCCCTCTCTACCTGGTCACCTGCAAAAAGAACGATTTCTACTGGGGCCCTGAACAGCAGCAAGCCTTTGCCCAGATCAAGCAGGAAATCACCCATGTGGTTGCCCTTGGCCCAGTCAGGACAGGACCAGAGTTGAAGAATGTGCTCTACTCCATCTGGGAACCATGGTCTGTCCTGGAGCCTTTGGCAGAAGGTGCCTGGGGAGACTCAAGGCCGACCACTGGGATTTTGGAGCTGAAGTTACAAAGGGTTCGAAGCAAACTACACTCGCACAGAGAAGGAAATCTTGGCTGCCTATAAAGGAGTCCAAGCTGCCTCAGAGGTGATTGGCAGGGAAGCACAACTCCTCCTGGCACCCTGACTACTGGTGCTGGGGTGGATGTTTAAAGGAAAGGTTCCCTCTACCCACCACACCACTGACACCACACAGAGCAAGTGGATTACCCTCATCACACAGAGTGCTCGTACTGGAAACCTGAATCGCCCTGGGATTTTGGAGATAATTACAAACTGGCTGGAAGGTGAGAACTTTGGTCTCACTGATGAAGAGGAGCAGGAACAAGTGGCGAGGGCTGAAGAAGCTCCACTATACAGCCAACTGCCAGCAGAGGAAACACGCTACACTGTTTTCACTGATGGTTCCTGTTGCATCGTAGGGATGAACTGGAAGCGGAAAACAGGTGGATGGAGCCCCACACGGCAGGTTGCTCAGGCTACCAAAGGAGAAGGTGGATCAAGCCAACTTGCTGAACTCAAAGCTGTTCAGCTGGCCCTGGACATTGCTGAAAGAGAGAAGTGGCCAAAGCTATACCTTTATACCTATTAGGGGATGGTAGCCAGTGCTCTGTGGGGCTGGCTGGAAAGGTAAAAAAAGGCCAACTGGCAGCGTAGAGGAAAGCCAGTCTGGGCTGCTGATGAGTGGAAAAACATTACCACTCACGTAGAAAAGCTACCTGTGAAAATCCATCATGTAGATGCCCATGTCCCCAAGAGTCAGGCTAATGAGGAACACCAAAAAAGCAAGCAGGTAGATCAGACTGCAAAAATAGAGGTGTCACAGATAGATTTAGATTGGCAACATAAGGGGGAATTGTTCCTAGCTCGATGGGCCCATGACGCCTCAGGCCATCAGGGCAGAGATGCCATCTACAAGTGGGCACAAGACCGAGGGGTGGATTTAATCACGGACAGTATTTCTCAGGTTATCCATGACTGTGAGATGTGTGCTGCCATCAAACAGGCCAAGCGAGTGAAGCCCCTGTGGTATGGTGGGCAGTGGTCCAAGTACAAGTATGGGGAGGCCTGGCAGATTGACTACATCACACTGCCCCAGACACAACAAGGCAAGCGCTGTGTGCTGACCATGGTGGAAGCCACAACTGGATGGTTGGAGACATGGTACCCCCGAGAGAATTGAGTCCAACATTGGGACTCATTTCAAGAATAGCCTTATCAACACCTGGGCTACAAAACATGGCATTGAGTGGGTGTACCATATTCCATATCATGCAGCAGCGGCTGGGAAGGTTGGACGGTACAATGGCCTGCTTAAAGCCACCTTGAAGGCACTGGGTGGGGGGACTTTCGAGAACTGTGAGATTAATTTAGCAAAGGCCACATGGTGAGTGAACACCTGAGGTTCCACAAACTGAGCAGGCCCTGCCCAACCTGAGCCCTTGTGAACAACACATAGATGTAAGGCTCCAGTGGTACACATGAGTGATATGCTGGGAAAAACTTTGGGTTAATTCTGCCTCCAGCAAAGACAATCCCATCTGTGGGGTTGTCTTCACTCAGGGATTAGGT